AGTGGCGCGGGCCGGCCCCAGCCCACGCCGGCTTGTCAATAACATTTCCCCGGGACACACGTGCTTTAACACCGCAGTGTCACAGCCGGGCAGTTGTGCCGGACACTGACATCCCGCACAGCCTGAAATGCTTGCTCTCCGGTCCTTACGGAAGTTGGCTGGCCCCTGGCCTCGGTAACTGTCAAATGTAAAACGATTAGGAAGCGATGAGTTTTAAATATGACTTGCTTATTCAGAGCTTTGCCATAGAACTTATTTAATTGGGAGTGAATATCATTTAACTTTAATAATTGGAAGTGAATATCATTCATGAGCTGGCTCACACCATTCCTGACAGTTTATCAGCTGGCGCTGGGGAGCCGGGGGATGGTCTGAAACGGGCCCGAGGCACCTGGGGCCAGCTCTTCAGTGGAGGGTGCACTGGGGTCTCTCGCCCCGGACGCAGGGACTCCCCTAGCCCCTTCCGTTTTCTTAGCACAGGGATCAGTGCCTGGCGCACAGCAGGTGCTCAAATATTTGCTGAGTCAGAGAAGGAACTTTCGGCCTTTAAGGAAAGTATTTTTATTGATTTCATAGCGGAGGGTGGGAGAGAGAGAGAGAGAGAGAGAGAGACATCAATGGTGAGAGAGAAGCACCTGGGCATGTGCCCTGACCGGGAATTGAACTGTGATGTCCTGGTTCATAGGTCGGCGCTCCACCACTGAGCCACGCCAGCTGGGCAGCTTTCAGCCTCTTATGCATAGAGCCCTTCCCGCTCACTGCTGTGGGTGTGGCCAGAATGACTTCCGGGCCCCACATCTTGTCCGAGGTCCCAGCCTCTGGTCCCCACGGTTCCTCTCAGAAGTGGAAGCATTGTAGCTCTTGCTCATCAGGATTTAGAACTTGAAATCATGTTTGCCTTTGCCGTGCATGGTTTGTGGTTTTCGAGGTGCAAGTGAAACCCTGTCTCCTCCCAGGACCTGACTTTCTGGTCACACTGAAGTCTTTAGATCGCCTTTTTTTCCGATTTTTTTTTTAAAGGCCTCCCATCCTTCTGGCACAGCATCGCCATCGTGTGGCCATAACAGGTTATGGCAACGTCATAGGTCTTGGCTCCGGCTGCAACCAGCCACCAGCTCCCAGGTTCCGGAAGCAGCAGGTGATGTTTGAAAGCAAATGCAGCAAGGAGTCAGGGCCGTGCGGCAGATTTTAAAGTGCATCCAGGAGGCTTGATGCTTCCTCTGAGTGACTTCAGGGCAGCGGGGGAGGGCGTGTGTCGGGCACGTCTGCCTGTGTGGCCTTTCCTCCATCTCTCCCTCCACCTTGAGCTTGCAGGCTCCCTCCACAAACAGTGTTTCAGACGAGGCAGTGCCATCTGCTGGGCGCACGCCGTCGGGTCAGTGTGAGGTGGGTTCAGGATCTGCAGAGGAATGAAGTGCAAACCCACAGCTCGGTGGGAGGAAAGCAGGCACACAGCAGGGCCTGGCGGCACGCCCCTTCGTTAGAAATGTTCTTCCAGGGGCGTGGGAACCCACCTCTGGTGTGAGCCTCCTACTACGGTGCTAGCCTCTGCAGCGGAGCCGGCAGGGTCTGAGTATGCACACCAGCCCCCTCTCCTCAGGGTCCCCGCAGAAATGCGGGCTCAGAGCCTCCCCGTGTACAGGACCCGCCCCTCAGCAGGGCCCTGGCACTGCATTTTCACCCCCCAAGTGGCTCTTGTACACACCACGTCCTGGAGCCCCGCCCACGGTGGGAAAGACTCTTCTCTCTCAGCAAAGCCCAGAAAGCGCTGGCCTTTGGGTGAGGCTGACACAAGGCGCTGTGTGTGCGAGCCGGAGCGGGAACATGTGCCAAGTCCTGGCTCCCACCTTCGCTCGCCGCGCGGTGTGGATTAAGTGATGACAGACCCCAAGCCCACACCACAGGTGCTCACCCGGAGGGCTGCTGTGGTCACCCCGTCTCCCCAGCGCTCCCACTCCCTGCACCCCGGCTCCGAGGCAGGGGGGGAGGCCAGTCCCCTCCCATCCCGAGGCTCAGCCACAACCTGCACTGAGAAGGTTCCAGAACCGGAGGCCACTGCCTTCCTGCCTGAGTGGCCTCTCTCTGAGCCTCAGTTCCTCCACCCCCGATACAAACGGGGTGTCCCAGCCAGCTCGGACATGCAGGGACCCTCTGCTGGCCTGGCCAGTGCTGCTCAGGTTAGAGCGGCGGCCCATGCACCAAAGGGTCTGGATTCGATTCCTGGTCAAGGCCACGTACCTGGGTTGCAGGTTCGATTCCCAGCCCGTGCGGGAAGCAACCAATTGATGTGTCTCTCACATCAATGTTTCTCTCTCTCTCTTTCCCTCCCTCCCTTCCACTCTCTCTAAAAATCAATGGGAAAGATATCTTCAGGTGAGGATTAACAAAACAAACAACAGGCCCTCGCTGCTGTATGACACCCCCTGTGGCGCGTGTGAGGGTGTGAGGTCTGGTGGGTGCAGACCCTCCTTGGATCACGATTTCCCTATGTAGGTTCCTCCCCCGCCCCCTGGCCCTAGACCAGTGGTCGGCAAACCGCGGCTCGAGAGCCACATGCGGCTCTTTGGCCCCTTGAGTGTGGCTCTTCCACAAAATTCCACGTGCGGGCGGCACGTACAGTGCAAAGTTGACTTAAAACTTTCATAAAGTTTATTAAGTTAATTTTAGGGAGCGTTGTGGAGTGAAAGAAGATGGAGTGTTGAGGGTTGAGAAAGGTATGTTGAGACTCACCTGCTAACCCAGAGACCCAGCGTGGACATGCAGCCCAGTGGTGGGGGCCCACCTCACCCAGCCGCTCAGGAGCCCGGGAGCCTGGAGCGCGGGGCCACCCACCGTCTCCTCTCTCAGGCCCCCGCCGTCCAGGACGGGGAGTGTCCACTCATGGGCAGGCCACCTCCCCTCGGCCCCCCAGCCCGCCTACATCCTCCGTGACACCAGCCCCGCCTGGGCCACTGGAGCCTGACCGTCGGGGCTCCTGGCGAGACTGTCTCTCTCGGGGCCTTGTTTCTCCGCGTGTCCCAGCCCCCGGTCCTCAAGGTCACATGCCTGGAGGGCCAGGCGGGCAACGGAAGAGAGAGAAAGAGGGTCGGTGCGGGGCAGGGAGTGGGCGAGGCAGCCCCGTGGGCCCTGATTCCTCAGCCAGAAATTTTCAGGAGACGCGAGCTCTCCGAATGTGCACGATTCTGGCAAAACTTGAGTTCCGTTTGTCTGTCCGTGGCTTAGCCCCGATGGGCCGCCTGTGTTTCTCCCGCCCGGGGCCTGGGCCGCTGGAGGGAAATTCAGAACCGCTCCCTCCCCAGCCACCAGCCGTCCCTCCAGGCACCTTTGTCGTCCGTGGGAGCCTGGCTCTGGGGCGCC